CGCAACAAGAGAAGCCACAGCAACAAGAAGCCCCAGCACCACAACCAGAGAGTAGCCTCCGCTCATCGCAATTAGAGAAAGCCTGCACGCAGCAACGAAGACCGAGTCCAGCCAAAAATTAATAAAAGGATGTGATCTTGCCTGAGGTCTAAGCAGGGCAGATATAAAGGAGACAGACTAGCAAGAGAGATTCAGGGAGCACAAAGAACAGGATGTGGTGACTGACAGGCTTGGGGTGAGAGATAAGAGGCGTGCAGAGCGAGGCCCAGGACTCTGGCCTGGGGACCAAAGGGACGGTGAGACGGGACGGTGTGGAAAAGGGAGGTGCTGAGGTCAGCACTGGTCACCATAGTGAATGAGAAGGGGCCAGACTCCTGGATCTAAGGCAGGAGGGGTGGGACCTGGACCCCTGGGTCTGAGGGAGGAGGGGCTGGGGTTTGGAAACCCAGGTCCTAGGGGAAGGAGCATCTAGGAACTAATATCCTAGAAATCAGGACACATAGGTCTAGATTTTGAGAGAGAAATCGGGGCTGAGAGAAATACAGGCTCTTTGAGGTAACTGAAGACTCAGGATCCAACCCCAGGAAATTCCAACATGTAAGATAAGGGCAAAGAAAGAGACTGATAGAATTACAAAGTTACCATTTTCCAACGTACAAGCACTCTGCAGGTCAAGCAATGATCACCAATGGATGTTAAAGCCTTTAGGTAAATAACTATTAGGAAGGAATCAGAGTGACCTCACTGGGATCTGGAGAACCAGAGACAACATCCCCCTGGCCCAGTGCCCAAGAAGCACCACAGCTCATCTGAATCTGATCCATCGTCTACATTTAATCAACCACCTGCTTCCAGGAAGCGAAACAAGATAAAGGACACCCCCGGCATGCAACTGGTCAAATACTGACCATGGGACAGAGGACTCAGTTTCTTCAACAGAGTATGGGGGAAAAAACAGTAGGCAAGGACCGTTAGAGGAGAAACAGCATACACAAGGCGTTTCAACCAATTACAATATACTGGCCTTTGGGGAACTTGATTCAAACAGCCAACTGTTAACCATTGTTTTTGAGACAGTCTGGGACCCATGGAAATTGACTGGAGATGAGATAGTAATTCTTCAGATATGATAATGACATAGGGGTAATGTTTTCTTAAAGGAGTTCTTAAAGAACTAAAGTATTTACTGTCGACATGATGTCTGGTACTGGATTTCAAATCTAGGGACAGGGAAGCCAACGGGAGGACATGAAACAGGAAAAGAGGATTAATCCCAGCTGAACTGGGGAGCTCACCACATGGCAACCACCTATTTTTTGTTGGTTTGACATTTTTCACAAAATGACATTTAAAGAGCAAAGAGAGATGGGGCAAAGAACACGCCCCAGTGAGTCAGGCCCCAAAGTCATAGAGGAGGGAGGGAGGAGGGAAACAGAGAGAGGCATACGTCCCCGCCACTGCCCACCCCCAGCCCCAGTATCATGGCTTGGAGAACAGGGATGTAACCCCGGCCCCAGGAGCACCACAGGAATGTCTGTCCCACAAGGAAGAGAACCGACGATGAAGATCCAGCCGGGCAAACACACCTGTTCCCGCTGCTCCTGGCCGCCCTTCTCTGAGTCTACCTGCTGCCCTAGCAGCTCGCGAAGCTGCTCCTCCTCCCGCCGAGCGGCCACTCGCTCCCCAGCCAGCTCACCCCGCAGCAGGGCCACCTCCACCTCCATCTGCAGAGAGAAGGCAAGAGCTGGGACCCAGAGGCCTGGGTCTAAGAGTAAGGAAGGGGCGGTGGCGCGCGGACGCCTGGGTCTGAACGAAGGACCTGGGAATCCGAACTCCTGGATTCGGAGAGAGTATGGAGCTGGAGGCCTGAGACTCGTCTCCCGTGGTTGTAAAGGACTGGAAGCCTGGCCTGACGGGGTTGGGGCCTACAGCCTCACCTCGATCCTCAGTTCCTTCCTCTGACGCTGTAGCTCCTTCACTCGCTGCTCCATCAAAGCCACGCGAGTCAGTGCCTCCAGCTGCTGCGCGCGAAGCCGCCGCGCCGCCCCTCGCACCGCTTCTCCAGACCGAGCGGGTGCGGGGGGCGTGGCCGGGGTCTGAACTGGAGACGGAGCCTCCGCCTGAGGTTGGAGAAAGCTAGTCAGCTGGGGAGGACTCGCCCCCAGCATCACTAAACAGGTCCCTGGGGCGGGGGCGGTGGGGGATCTGAGTTAGCGACCCTCAGCCACCAAGCTCTTTTATCCGATGCAGGTCCGATGACCGCTCGGTCCCAGGAGGTGGCCCAGGGGCCCACAGTCCGGGGAGGGGGCACAGAGCCGACTCAAGGACGCTGTTTCCCATTCTCTTGGCCTCACGTCTTCGAAGGTCCTGCATCTCTTTCTCTCTCCCGGGATCTCTGAGTCTTTTCCCCTTTTCTCTGAGCTTCATCTTCCTGATTCAGTATGTCTTCTGTCTTCGAATCGCTATTTTTCTTTCTCCCTCGTAGTATCTCCCCGTCTCAAGGTTTCTCTGTCTCTGTTTCTCTGAGCATCTTTGTTTCTGGGTTTCTGTCTGTGTCTATCCTCAGCACTCTGAGTCTCTTTTCTCTGGTCTCGAGGGTCCCTTGACTCCTTTGGATCTTTGTCTCCCCGTTTCCCTGTCTCTGGGTCTCTATCTGGTCTCCCTGTACCTGGCTCTCTGTGTCTCTGTCACCCGCTCGGGTCTGCTCCTCGGGGTCCCCCCCGCCCCGTGACTCTAGCCCCCCGGGTCCCTCACCGCATCGTGGCTGCTCTCGGTGCTGCTGCCTTCTCCCACTTCTTCCTCTTCTTTCGCCTGCTGCTCAGCTCCTTGGCCGCTCGGAAGCTCTGCCGGGGCCTCGGGCGCCTCCCGCTCGCGGGAGTCTTTGGGGTGCCCCTGGGGTTTGGGGGCCCCCTGAGATCGGACCTCTGTGTCGCACTCCGGGGCCGCCGCCGGCGGAGCCCCCAGGTCCGGGCTGCTCCGCGTCCCCATGGCCGCTGAGAACTCGCGTCGGGTGGGCGGGGCCTGGGGTTCCGGAGGCGTTGGGGGCGTCGCCCAGGGGGCCGGCGCGTCCCGCCCGAAAGCTCCGGAGAGCGCTCCAGAGGCGGGGCCTGAGAGTTCAAAGGATGGGACTGAACATTCCAGAGGCGGGGCCTGGAGCTTCTAGGGGCGGGGTTCGTGGCTCCTAGGGCGTCACGCCCCAAGAGGCGGGACCGGAATTTGAGTCCGGGTCCTAGTACGCCCCCTACCGGCGTCTCCCTGCTATCCAGGTGTCGAGCCTTGTACTTTCCCACCCGCCCCAGACTATCCCCTTGGACCACTTTAGAGCGACCCCATCACCATCTGCTTCGCGGACTCAGGAGTTGGGTTCCGCCCTGTCCTCTCTGGAGCCCCGTAGTCTCAGCTCTGACCCCGCTGTGTAAGGGAGCCGTGCCCCTGCCCCCTCACCCAAGGATCGGAGAGTCGGGTCTCCTGGTCTCCCTCTCTCTGGACAAACCAGTAGCCTTGAGTCCTCGGCTCCTCGGGACCGAGATTCCAGAGCTCCAGCCCCCGCGACCTCCACAGCCCCGGCCCCCTCACCAGCTCAGGCTTCGGCGCGCTCCGTTCTGCGCTCCGGCGCAGCAGTTTCTGCCCACTGAACAGGTGGCTGGGGAAGAGGGAGGAGAGACAGGCTGCTCGGTCCCCCTCCCCAGCAGCCCGGAAGTGGAGGACAGGGGGACAACAGGTCCAACAGCTCTCGAGGGAGGAGGGAGCGACCAGCTTGCCCCGCCCGCAGCCGCGGGATCGGGCCATCCGGGCCCCACCGGCCCCACCCTAGGAAAACCCAGCATGACGACCCCCCAGCTCTGCCTCCAGCGCCCCCAGTCCTGCCCCCGGGGGGCCAGGCGCCTTGGTCACCTGTGTAAAAGCGCCTCCCTAATGCCCAGACCCTGAGAATCCTGAGAGGAAGAGGGGAATGGAAGCAGGGGCCTCTCCCCTCTAATGAGCACTTTAGAAGGGCCCCAACCGGTTTGGGGAGCTGGACAAGAGGAGGGGGTGCCCTGAGCTGAGTCAGAGGCCCGCCCAGAGACAGCGGGAAGTGTGGCCCCCCCACCTTGCTTTGGGTGGAGGGCAGAGGTTAAAGGTCTCAGCCAGACCCTTTCCTCTCTGGGCAAAAACAGGAAAATAACTGCTATGTGAGAAAGGATTTTTGGATGTCAGGAGCTGCCTATATAAAGTATAAACATTTTATACACATCAATTTATTTCGTCTTTACAGCAGCTTACAGAGAAATTACTATCTGCATTTTATAGTCAGGAAACTGAGGCTGAAGGGGGCAAGTGTACCCAGAGTCTACACATGTTGTTAATGTGAGCACCGTATCAGTTCTCTGGAAAAATCCATAGTCTTTACCATTAGGCTTACTGTCACTCAGGCCAGAAAGTCCCTGAGAGATCATTCCGAAAGATAGTAACAATAATAGTTAACACTGATAGGAAATCTGCTGTGTAGGCAGTGTGCCAAGCACTTCACGTATATGGACTCATTGGATCATCACAACACCCTATTATTATTTCTATTATTCCCATTTTACAGACGAGGAAACTGAGGCTGGGAGAACTGAAGTACTTTATTCTGGGTCTCACGGGGCAAGTGGTTTAAACTGAAAATTGTTCGAATCCAAGGAGCTGAGAAACCCTACCCCACATATCTGTTTGCTTCTCTCTTACGAGTTACAAAAATTTCCTCCTTCCAGGCTCCCTAGACTTTTATCCTGCCTTGCTCCCTGACCTCTCCAGGGACCAGAACTAACTACAGATACCTCAGCCCAGAAACCCACTGGTTCCCCCAGGAAACAGAAGTCAGATTCAGAGGAGAAAAAAAATATTTTTATTTAAGAAGCTTGAGGGGGCTAGTAAGGGAGGGGAAGAGGAGAGAGGCCCCAGTGATGGCAAGGCTCCCCTCACCCCACCTAGTGCATTTTTAATGGATGTGAGCTGTGGCCCCTGAGAGTCAGGGTCGGTCAGGAAGGGGGCGTCTGGATCCCACAGCGCATGTTAGCTGGAACAGCAAAGTCTGAAACGAAGAAGCCAAGAGTGAAACAAAGGTGCCCGAGCAGACCATCCGCTTCCCCTCTGCCCCACTGGGGACCCAGGCATCCTAATAGCTCTTCTTCTTTGAGAAACTAAGAGTCCAGACCCTCAGCACCTCCTCCCTCAGACCCAGGAGTCCAGACCCCCAGCTCCCTCCTCCCTCAGACCCAGGAGTCCAGACCCCCAGCTCCCTCCTCCCTCAGACCCAGGAGTCCAGACCCCTAGCCACTCACCTATCTGCTGAGGTTTAGGCAGGTTCAGTTTGTTCATGACCTTGACAAACTCCTCACAGCTGAGGGTGAGCCGAGGGTTCAGAGTCCTCTCCTCCTCCACAGTGGACACTGTGAGCCCTAATGGCCAAGGGAGCGGGGAGGAATGTCAGACTGTCCAGTGCCTCTGGCCTCCCAGAACTACATTTCCCAGGAGGCCTCAGGGTACCTTTCTGGCCCAGGACTAACAGATTGCTTTCCCCCTGACCAATGGGCACTATGGGAAATGTAGTTTCCCAGTCCCTTAAGTTCTACAGGAAAGCCTACGCCTTCGGAATTCTAAGCGTTATATTTTCTACATCTACCCTCAGTACACCTCAGCACTTGATCTTTTTGGCCAGAGAAATTCCTGGGAATTGTAGTCCGCAAGCCACAAGAGGATTACAGCATTTCAGTGCTCACTCTCAAATGCTAAGATATGTAAATCCCACACCTCCTCCAGGAAGCCCTCACCGTGGTAATCATGAGCAGGGTAGATCAGACAGTTTCCTGGAAGAGTGAAGATCTTTTCATGAACTGAGTGGTACAAGGTCTTAGCGCAGCCTGGAGAAGGAAAAGTCAGAGGTCAGTGGAGCAACAGATGGAGAGAAGCTCCCAAACCCCTTCCCTTCAGGAAAAAGACAGGAGGATAAAAATCACTGTAGCTAAACCTTCTCCCTCATTTTCTGCCAGTAGCTGTTTGGGTAGAGGAGAGGGAATTCTAGGCAACTAGAACAGCACATGCAAAGACTTGGGGAATGGTAAGAATTCAGCATGATTGTAAGGAACGTTGGGATAGGACCCTGAAGCACCAAGTCCCCTCACTCTGAGGATGCCAAGAAAGGATTCTGGGCAGGGAAAGTGGACTAGAAGGTAAGAAATCGAAGACATGAGGTCAAGGAGGAGGATAGAGCCATGGTTTTGACAAGAAGCTCTGAGTCCTAAGATGGGACAGGGGCAAACCTCTCATAATGTTCTGCCGTCTTTTCTTTCAGCCTTTGATCTCCTGACTGTGTTGGGGATGAATAAAGGGAAGATTAGGAGCTTCAAAGAGAAAAAGACAGAGACAGAGATGGAAAGATAAGGAAAGAGGAAGCAAGAAGCAGCCTGGGGACGTGGCTACCCACAGCCAGCTCACTAATGCTGTCTCTTTTCTCTCTTCCAGCCTCGCCCTGCAAGGTGGCTGAACCCTCCCAATCTAGTGTCTATCCCATTCACACACATACTCAAAGGGCAGCTGAACCCTGACACTATAAAACTAAACACCCTTCCCACAGGGAAACTCCTTAATGTAATTGCCCCCAGCAGCTAAACCCCAAGTGTAACATCATGCGTGCGACACTCAATGGTGTCCAACTCTTTGCAACCCCATGGACTGTAACCTGTCAAGTTCCTCTGCCTGTGGGATTTTTCAGGCAAGAACACTGGAGTGTATTGCAGTTTCCTTCTCCAGGGGATCTTCCCGACCCAGGGATCAAACCTGCACCTCCTGAGTCTCCTAAATTGACAGGAAGATTCTTTAGTGCTGAGCCACCAGGGAAGGCCAATGTAACATCACCCCCTAGCAATTAAACCACTGAATCTGACCACCTCCTAGCAGCTGAACTCCTGGAGTCTAATCCTGATCCCCTAAAAGTCTACCATTCGTTCATTCATTCTTACAATGGACACTTAAAATCCTGGCATTCATAAAACCATACTAAAATCTTGGGTCAGGGAAAAGGGCCTGTGACCTTGCTGGAAGTCTGTCCGCCCACACCCTCGGATAAGCAGGGCGTCTCCAGTGAAGGCCATACTGTGGTCATTCAAGACAAAGGTGACACAGCCAGGGGTGTGGCCAGGGCTGGCCCGGGTCTCCAAGGCCTGGCAGAGAAGGAAAGTACAGAGTTAGCAATAAGCCTATGGTTTTACTCTCATGGTAAAACTGGCCTCAGATGCTCCCATCTCATCCCAGGGTCACATTTAGATAACCTTTTTTTGATTTAAAAAAAAAATGTAAGTTAGGTCCTAGACTCAAACGTCACTCCAGAGTAAACCCGCAATGAATTACAAACTTAAAACAAGGAAATAAAATCATAAAACTAGGACAACAACAAGCATACAAAGAAATAGTAGGTTGGCCAAGAAGTTCATTCATGAAGTTTTTAGCCGACCCGATATATGATCTCTGGTTAGAGAATATTCATCGTAAAAAGCATAAATCATTAAGGGAAAGATCAGTGGTTTGAATTTTAATAAATTTGAGGTTTCAGAATGGCAACAACATCATAAACAAAATTTAAAGGAAATCAACACCCTGGCAAAATATTTTTGTAGCACATACATACCAGAGAGTAATCAGGATACTTTATGTACAAACGGATCTTGCATATCAGTAAGAAAAAGATAAGCACACTAATATATATGAAATACTAAACAGTCGTTTAAAATTATGTTACTGAAATAAAATTTAATGATGCTATACACAAATATTTAACGGCATGAAAAGATGTTTACTAGCCAGTAAGTGCAAAAAAAAGGTTACAAAGCAACTTATACAATGTCTAGTTTTAAAAATTTATTAATTAACTCAAAATATCTTTTTCTTTAGACTCCTCCTATATTATCTTTCTGTTTTACAGTGAACATGTCATTTTGTAATCAAAAATAAAACACAAAATTCAGGATAAACTAAATAAACACTAAAAAAAACAAAAATTCTAGAAGGAAATATAAAAGAATAGATCTATAGTTATAGATACAAATTATATTAATGTTTATATAACATTATGCATTATATATATACATATATATGTAATATATGTATATATATATAAAATCTTGAGGTAGAAAAGGTTTTTCTAAGCACAGTAGGAAATCCTGAGGCCACAAGGAAAAACAGGGACCACATAGTTTAACTTCATTATAGAAAAGGACAAAATCAGAGTGACAAAACAAAAAAACTCAAAGACAATATTAGCAGCATGTATAAGAAAGTGTTATAAAACCAGAATATCTGAACAGCTCCTAAACGTCAATAAGAACCCCCCCAAAGAAAAATGGCTAAATAAAAGAACAGGCAACTCAGGGAAGAGGAAATAAACAGTCAAAAAACATCTGAAAAGATGTTTGATCTCCCTTTAAAAAAGGACAGGGAGAGAGAAATCTAAATTGTAAAACCTTTATTTTTCATTTATCAGGTTGGCAACTGTCAGAGTTGCTCAGGGTGTTTGAGACAAACCCTTTTATCCTCTGGGATGTGAGAACAACTCAGAATAGCCATTTTAGATGGCAGCTAAGCAGCGTCTAGCAACATCTCAAAAGCACATGTTTTCTGACCTCTCAAAGCCATTACTAAGGCTCTACTGTTAAGAACAACCAACACATGAGCACAAAAACATCAGCCAGGGAACCCTGATTATCTAAATTCCCACACTCAGTTCAGTGAAGCAACTGTCAGAAAAAAAATCATTACCCCAGTGATCTAACAATCACTTATAAGATTAGTTTCCACTCACATATCACTCCTCCTTTCTTAATAGAGGCTCCTGCCAGCATCCTTGTCCAGGACAGTCATCTGCTAATTATCAAAGGACACTATGTGCAGACTCTATATCCACACCCGATATCTGTTTTAACCTTCCCCACTCACAGATCTCCAGTTTGGTTTGGGGCATCAGTGTGCCCAGCAGAAGCACTTTCCCAGTCTCCCTGACAGCTTGGGTGGCCTCTGGCACAGTTCTCTGGCCAATAAGATCTCAGCAAGTATCCTGAGCAATTCTGGGAAAGCTTTTCCCTTCCTGATAAAAAGGGACCGGCACTTGCCCTTTCCACTTCATCTGGCTCAGAACACAAGATGTGATGGCTGGAGTTGCAGCAGCCATCTTGCAACCACAAAGGAAAAAAGCCAAGCTAATCAATCCCACAAATGATGGTGCTGCCAAATCAGAGAATAATTACCTTCTTCCAAATTTCCTGTTATAGGAAAAAGTGAAACTGTTCAAGCCACTGTATGGTTTTTTAAGTTTCTATCTGCCAAACACCTTCTTAGCTCATCTGCACTAGGGTATATGGGCAATGCAAAACAAGTGCAAAGGGAAATTACAAATCTTGCAAAATCTTGTGGGAAAAATCACATCCCCTGGCCCCTCAAATTAATATTGCCTTTTGGTAGTGGAGGGATAATCTTTCACTTTTTATTTTGTTTGTTTCCATACTCTCTGAATTTTTTAAACAAAAAGCATGGAAATCTTCTGAACTAAAAAAGGGGATGGATATTCAGGAGAAATGTTCGAAATATTTAACTTTGGTTATAACAAAGCTATGACAAACCTAGACAGTGTGTTAAAAAGCAAAGACATTGCTTTGCTGAAAAAGGTCCATATGGTCAAGGCTATGGTGTTTCCATTAGTCATGTACAGATGTGAGAGCTGAACAATAAAGAAGGAAGAGCATGGAAGAATTGATGCTTTTGAACTGTGATGCTGGAGAAGGCTCTTGAGAGTCCCTTGGAAAACAAGGAGATCAAACCAGTCAACCTTAAAGGAAATCAACCCTGAACACTCTTTGGAAGGTCTAATGCTGAAGCTGAAGCTTCAGTACTTTGTCCACCTGATGCAAACAGCTGACTCATTAGAAAAGACCCTGATGCTGGGAAAGATTGAAGGCTGAAGGAGATGAGGGTGACAGAGGATGAGATAGCTGGATGGTATCACCAATTCAATGGACATGGACTTGGGTAAACTCTGGGAGATGGTGAGAGATGGGGAAGCCTGGCATGCTGCAATCCTTGGGGCCACAAAGAGTTGGACATGACTTGGCAACTGAACAACAACAACAACAAATAACATGGGTATTGGCCAATCAGAAGAGCATCAGTTGTAAACAACCAGTAATTAGAGTATATAGGGGCTTCCCTGGTGGCTCAGCCATAAAGAATCTGCCTGCAATGCAGGAGACCTGGGTTCAGTCCCTGGGTTGGGAAGATGCCCTGGAGAAGGAAATGGCAACCTACTCCAGTATTCTTGCCTGGGAAACCCCATGGACAGAGGAGCCTGGCTGGGTCCACAGGGTTGCAAAAGAATCGGAGTGACTAAACAACAGTTAAAGCAAATATGGTTGACCCTTGAATAACTCAGATTTGAACTGTGCAAGTCCATATATAGAAGGATTTTTTTTCAGTAGTAAATACTATGGTACTACCCAATCTGGCTTAGTGAATCCATGGATGTGGAGAAAACACAGATAGAAGGACCGACTGTATTAAGATATACCCCGATTTTTGAATGTGGGGAGGGTCAGTGCCCCTAACTCCCTGAGTTGTTCAAGGATCAACAGTATATGGCATATTAATTATGTGATGTGTATAAATTAAATAAAATTTTAATATAAATTGAACACAATCCTGCTTGCCACAGGGATCAAAATCTCCTAGGCCCTTAATGGCCAAGTCTGTGTCATAGGTGGCTTTGCTAATGCTCACCCTCCCTGTATATCTTTTCCTTCTCTGGAATATCTAGAATTTACCATCTCTATCAACCCCCATAATCCTGTCCATCCCAGGCCTCGCCTGCTTGGGCCAACCACCAGCCTCCTCCCCGGCCTACCAGCCTCCAATCTACCTCCTACATGACCTGAGGGAGCTTTTCTACCACCCAGATCCAGTTTTGTCCCTCTGTGCTCAAAACCCTTCCTGGGGGAGGGGGATTCAAGAGGGAGGGGACACATATATTCCTATGGCTGATTCATGTTGATATATGGCAGACACCAATACCATGTTTTAAAGCAACTATCCTCCAATTAAAAATAAATAATTGTTTTTCAATCCAACAATTAAAAAAGCCTTCCCAGGCTCCCAGTGGCCCCAGGACAGAGTTCCAGCTCTTCAGCCCCTGCTCTGGTGCCTGCTCACGTTTCCAGCCCCATGTCCTATGACATCCTCCTTTCCCCAGCTGCTTTGAATCCCAGAGTCATTTCCAGAAAACACCAGGCTTCTCCACACTCTTTTGCCCCTGCCATTCCCTCTTCTCCCATCAGTCTGGTCTGCCTACTCTTTACCAGCCTGACTGACTCTTTTCCCTTCTAATCCTCTCTTCTAAGGACTTGACGTGACTGAATTCTCTCAGACCTCACACATCCTTACAAGGTAAGTATCATTCCTGTCCCCACTCTACAGATGAGGAAACTGAGGCACGGGATGAGAATGAGCAAACTACACATGATGATACGGATGAATCTCACAGACAGAACCATCAGCAAAAGCAAAAAAGCGGGGCAGATGTAAAGAGTGAAGTGGAGAGGGGTAGGATAGAGGGGGGAATCTCAGAGTGCCTGGTACACGGGAAGGTAAGTGGTATTTCTTGAAGCTGAGGTTTCAGTGCTGACCCAGGTGTAAAATATTTCTCTCACAGTGAAAGCGCATGGATTAGTGGTTAAGAGCAGTCCCTGGAGCCAGATGACATCGGCTCTAAATTTGGCTCTGCTACTACTAGCTGTGTGACCTTGGGCAAGCTATTTCACCTCTCTGGGCTTCTCTGCTCATTTATAAAATAGGGGTAATAATTGCCCCCACTTCATAGGGCAATTATAAAGATTAAATTATTTCACGTACGTAAAGCGTTTTAAAAATGCTCAGGAAATTCCCTGACAGTCACGTGGTTGGGACTCCACACCCTCACTGCTGAGGGCGGGGGTTTGATCCCTGGTCAGGGAACTAAGATCCTACAAGCCAAGTGGCACAATCAAAAACTAAAAATGCCTGACATACAATAATTTCTATTTTATAAATAATCATAATGTTTTAAAATTCTAAAATACTGATCTAGTGGAACCACCAAGCCTCCTGGGTTCAAATCCTGGCTCAGCCAACTTTCTCAGTATAACTT